ATCACTGACCCAACACAATGCTAAATTTTTCAAAAAAAAAAATCATTGACCCGCGATCAAAAAAGGTTGCCGACCACTGCTTTAGATGAACATTCACTTATTGGATTAAATACAAATCTGTAGAGAGAGAGACAGAGAATATAAAAGTAGATTTTCTGATTCTCAATAGAAAAATATAATCCATTACATAAAAATTAAAAAAACTAATATATTTACCTTTTGTTCGCTTCTTTGCAAGTTGTTAATTTCTACAAGACTCTATCTTGAGCAAGGTGAAACATATCTGATCAAGGACTGTATTATTTAAAATACATGTAGTCAGAAAAGCTGGAGTTGTAATGCTGATAAGGAAGACAGGTGTTAAATCATGATCTTAGCTTATCATGTTTGTTAGACTGTTCTGTAAAGCTTATTTTTGCTCATATGCTCAGCTTCTTTAAGCTCTAGGGAGTTTTGTTAGAAAGTGTCATTGAATCAGTAGTAACGAACTTAGCAGCACAGCTAGGACTTGCATGCAAATATTCATCATATCTAGTGATGACAACCAAATTAATGATTCCAACAGAGAACAGATTTGTTTCGGCTCAGAAACTAAATGGTTTATTACAATATGATTTTGAAAATCAGCTTAATTTTCATTGAATTCTTTTTTTTTTCATTTACGATAAACTCCTGTGGGACCATTTTAAGTTAAATTGATCAACAGCTTCATTATAATTAACTTCTGATCAAAGCAAGCTAAAAATTAACACAGTCATTAATGTAGCTAATTTAATATACTGTTTTTACTCACACTGAGTAGAATGCATTAATTCATCAGTCAAATCCTTGCTGTTAGTGGTGTCATAATAATAACTCACAGGATTTGACAAGCTTAAAATATTTAAATTAGCTCTAAATCAACATACTAAGCAATTTAATCCTCATATTAATGAAAATGAAAAATAATAAATAAATATATATATATATATATCAAACATTTTAACCAATACTATTAATTAAATTAACATTAAAGATTTTGGTTTGAATTTCTGTGTTGCTAAAAACAAAAAAAATCTTCTGTCCCTCTTACAAGTTGGTATATTGAGCCAATATTTTAATATGACAATTAGTATAGTGATGCTGGGATCTTCAGTGCATATACATTATAATATAGCTTTAGCAACATAGACTGTTACTTTTACCGACAAAAACAACTTGTAAACATTATTAATGACTAGCGTATCTAAGGGATAGTTCTCAATTTATGCCTTTTTCATAAATTATACAAATGTATGCTGGGGGGGGGGGATCTTGTGTATGCTTTTAAAAAAAAAATGAGAATGTATCATTTGCTATTCATAAATAACTATTGACCATCAGCAACATTGGCATATTTGGTGGGCTTAAACACCTTTTTTTATTTTCATAGTATTCTATTTCTACCGGCTAATATCTTTTAAAATAACTTCACTGTTTTATGTGTACACTTCCAGAAGGGCTGGGAGGTTATGAAAACACATATTTTGTGAATGACCCTTCACTGTCACTAACTGCTATGACAAATTATTTTTTACTTTATATGCGAAGTAGGAATATTCTACTTGTTAACAGTAGTGATAAATATAGTCTTGATATGTAACTGTTTTATATATAAGTTTGATGACTGTATTTTACACCTTGTGGCAGTAGAGTATCCACTCTATGCAAAGGGTTTTTTTTATACACCTTTTTTTAAGATTGTAAGATTTTATTTATTTGTTTAATAACTGGTTTATCATATCAGGAGTAAGTACTTGATACTTTTTTTTAGATTTGGATATTTGTTGAAGTCCATCGAATAAAGTCCATAGTAACAAAGTTATGTTGTTTGGTTGCCAATGTGTTATCGATAGATTCGTTGAATATGACGATTTCAAAATAACAAGTCAGATAATTAATATTAAGCTTTTTGTTTGTATACTGTCTTTTTCTTTCTCATTACTTTTCTTTATTAAATTATAATATTTTTTTGACTGTTTTACCTCATAAAAAAGAAAACAGCTAATTGAATCCCTATTTATCACAAAACATTTTAATGACACTTGCAAACTGGGTGATCTGATTTAGCATACCTTCAAAGAACTTAACTGACTTCTTGCAAGATGTGTTGAATGTGGAACTTTTCTACTGATTTCTTTGTATTTCATAATTTATAACTTCTTGTCTTTTATCAGACTCAGCTTCATGTAATGTGTAACTAGATATTTCTGTTATGATTACTTCAAATTCCACTTTTAGTTCGCCATGGCTGGATGGAGCTTTTGTATTGAGCAATATTCCTGTCAGTGACATGCACTTAGTAACTTTTATTAAAAACCTACATTAGGCAAGTTAGGATGATTTAAAATATATTAGTACTGATTTTTTAGAAATTCTCTTCCATGTGTAGTGGTCAAATCAATTTCAGATTTCTTATTGAACTGAACATGTTGCAGGTTTCATCATTTTAAATAGATCTGATTATATCTCTGAAATGGGAGACATTTTAAATGGCAGAAAAAAAGTTTAAACCCCTTGATAATCACTGGCTTAAACTTACTCTCAAGAGTGAGGAAAAGTTCAAACATACTTTAAGATATTTAAAAAATTGTAAATTCATCTCTGACATCATTTTTCAGAACTTTATCCTACAGGTTCCTACCACAGTCTTATGTATGACTTACCAAAACTACCCAAATAAGGTTTACCCTTCAGACGTGTTTTATCTTGCTTTTGGTTCCAACACCTACAAACTTACTAAATATCGTGTACCTAACACTAAGCTCAATAGCATAGAACAAATTTACTTTAAAAAAACTCCC